TCCTTGGAAGGGACCCCTCAGACTCGGCCCTGAGGACTGTTACCACACAGAAACTGGGGCCCTGTGCTGCTGCCAGAGCTCCTAACTGGAGGTAAGAACAAGCAATCTAGACTTTTATGTGAAATCTCTCAATTTTTAAATACAGTCAACTTTTTTTTTAAACATTATGCAGGCCAAACACACTATATCTGTGGGCAGGATTCCACCTGTGGGTCTGCCACTTTGCAATCTATTTAAGTGAAAAGGTGGTTCCAAGAAGAACAAGCGTGATTTTCTCCAAATCCTTGGCTTTAGCCAATCAGGTGGCTCAATTAAACAGACAAGTATAAATTCACCAGCTGATATATGACATCCAACCCCAGTAGACAACATAATTATCAACTAGACAGTTGGGAGGGAAAGGTATAAACAGTAGGAGCATCCTATTTAATCACACCAAACATGAATAGCAGTCCATTAAAACAATGTAAAAAATATGAGAGGTATGATCAATGGGGTTCTGATAATCACATGGGGAATTCAGGGCACCACTGTGGGATGAGACTGCCACAGTCTTCACTGAGTGGGGAGGATCTGAGGCTTCAAGAGTAGATAAAAGCAGCTGACACTTACTAAACACTGGGTAGCATGCTAAATGCTTTCAAGGAACACTTCATTTAATGTTTGCAATGATCTTCTAACAGGACCTTCACTGTTAAGAACCATATGGCATCATCTCTAGACCTGGACAGGTCTTGGAAGAGAAGGTAGGGTATCTCAGGCAGGGGGAATGGACAGGAGCAAAAGCATGGAGGTAGTAATGGGTCAGACAAATGTGTGGGTACAGAAAGGGCAAAGTCTGTGGGTTGTAGGTTGTCTCTGGTTTGCGTGCTTTGTGCAAGTGTCTGACACCACGACTCCAGGGGTTCCCGGGAGTACCCTGGGGCTAGAGTTGAGTCCCTTGATCTGAAGTCTCTGGAAAGAGATTTAGGCTGATGATGCGGTATCACCTTAACAGGTACATGGGAATCAGACCACAATCCTGAGGGACAGAGGGACACGGGGGTGAGGGGTGGTGGGGTGGTGGGAGGGGATGGGGGGGGAAGGTTCTGTCCCTGCCCCCAGGCTGGAGCACAGCCCACCAAGTAAATACATGAATATTCATTGTTTGGGGGAAGTTGTAGGCATCCCTGTCAAAGGACTGAGCTGGGAATAATTCAGACCACTTCTGAAGAGAAACTGGGTGGTGTGGGGGCGGGATGTTGGATTCAGGCAGGTATCTGGGTTCCAAAAAACCTCCCAGAATGCCTCTGGGCTTACAGCTACTCTCTGCCTTTGGGACCAGAGGAATCATTGAAAGAGAGAGCCAGACTGGAAGTATTGAGTGGGGTGGGCCGGGAGAGGAAGAGAGAACCAGTGACAGTGCAGGCATGGAGGGACAATGGTACCTTTCTTCTAGCAAATCAGGGGAAGATTTGAGAATTAGTGTATTAAGAAAGCCTTTCAAATGCTTCACAATCTCAGTGCCAGTGCACAGAGGATGAGCTTGGCACTGTAGCAGAACCAGTGAGAAGGTGCTGGAGGGCTGGGTTGAGAGTGAAATTAAACGGGCCCTTAGAATCACGAAACCTAGATTGACTAATCCATGGTTTTGATGACCATGGCATTCCCAGGAGAAATAATGAAGTGTGCTCGGATAGTTTTTTCCGGGTCTTTTTAGGACTCTTTAACCTATGAGTTAATCTAATTTTAAAAAGTTCTAACCTTACATTTTCTCAACACCAGTCCTAAAAAACTCAAGTCGCACCAAATGGGTCATGAACACATATTCCTGAGTTGGAAAATGGGAACTAACTGCTTACTTATTTTTACCACTTGGAACTTCACAACGTATATTAATAAGGTAAAAGCTCTGAGAAGTCCTGCAATCATGAAGCCTTCCATAGTTCCGTTAACATGTTTCCCAGACATTTCTCATCAGGATCTTTTTGCTGTTGTTATCAAATATCTATTAAGATGGAACACATTTGGAAAAAGCACGTATAGACATTTGAAACTGATCAGATCATCTGCGTCAAATACCTCCAACGTAAAGAGTTCCCTAAAATGAACTTCTACTCTATAGCATTGTTTCCCATTTGTTATGGACTGAATGTTATGGACCCAAAAATTCAGAGCACTCTCACTCTTTCTGTCACATAAGGACATAAGATCGCCATCCGCAAACCAGGAAGATTCTCACCAGAATCCAACCCACTGAGAACTGATCTCAGATTTCCCAGCCTCCAGGACTGTAAGAAATAAATATTTGTTGTTTAAACCATTCAATCTTTGGTATTTTGTTACAGCAGCCTGAGCTAAGACACTACTTATTCAGTTTTTCTATCAAAAAGAAAATTTAGCCCTGTACTAAAAGCCTGCTATTAAAAAATAACAATATAATTCCTCATTCAAAATAGCTCATAGTCTGGTGGGGAAGGCAGACAAAACATCTGTCTCAAGAGTTGGTGCAGTTGATGCTCAGCTGTATTTTCTCTATTTTAGGGAGGACCCGGGAAATGAAATTGCAAGGTATGCTAGGCATAACTGTTGGCTTAGTCTTGTGTTCTGGACATAAGGGTAACTGTGATCTTTGGCCTGCCTCATAATCAGAGCTCCACTTGGCCTGAGGCATGTTTACCCTGGTCTTTATACTCCTAGGATCATCCCCCTTCCTTCCAGTAAGAGAAGGTGGGCATGTGAGTCAGACTGGGCTAGTCATATATCCCAGGCTCTGGCCACAGTGACTGGTCTGGAGAGCGGTATGGGGCTGAAGCCAGACCCAATAGGAATCCTGTCCTGAGAACCTTTTGAACTTCAGGAAGAAATTGGGGAAAACCCTTTGCTCTCTGGTCACAAAGCTGCAAGGATATGGTGCCAGTCTGCCAGTACACCATCACAAGGGGGCACCTGAGGGGAATGAATCTGCCAGGCAGAGATGCAGAGATGAGATTAGCAGAGTCACAGAGACCCAGCGGGCTCTGGGCCTGAGTCCCAACATCCGTCCTACCTCATGGCTTTGTGTTGTCATTATTGATGCTTGTTTGTTTCTCCTTCTTCTACTTTGTTTTAGGTTTCTGTCAGTGGTCACCTTGAGAGTCCTAAGAAGCCCAGTTTCTCTAGCCTGGAAGTGGTCAGATGCCAATAGGTCATATGAAGACCCTGGGATAACTTCTAGAAATCCTTTGGAGACAGTTGGGATGTCATTAGGAAAGCAGAGGAAATGATGAGTGAAGACAGATCGCCCCCTGTGTGGAGTGCAATGAGCTCTAGAGTTAGAAAGAGTAGATTCTGATCTTGCTTTCCATCAGTCTTAACTCGGAGAGCAGAAGTTCTTTAACCCTTTCCCTCAATGTCAAATGGAAATAAGACTAACATCCGCCTCACATGATAGGGAAGAAAAAGTGAGAATGCTGGAGAAAGAACTTGTCTAACACATAGTACAATACAAAATGATGTTAATTTTCTTGTATTTCAAGTTTTTCTATTGAAGGCCAACTCATCAGTGCATGACAATCCATGCCACCTCCAGGAGAGGAGATGACTGGACTAACCAAGAAGCTTTGCCAGTTTGATCAAAAGGCAAGTGTCAGTCAGCCTTCACCTGTCCCCTGCTGCATATTTCCCAATTTTTCTCTGTTTTCTATCCCCCAGAGCAGAAGCTCAGCAAAGACGAATTGAAAAAAGTCCTCCTCTAAAATGCAACTTCTCTTGACATGCATGTGATGCAAATACCTGTTGCTTTATTCATGTTCAGCAGGATGTTCTCCCCCTCTGGCTGTACAGTCTGTAGATGTACATCCATTTCTACTGGGGCAAATACATATCCAGTTTTGATGTTTCCACCTAATCTCAAAGGGAAAGATTGCTCTGTGTATCCCACTCACAGCAGACCTCAGCAGAGGACCACAGACAATGATGGTAGTGATGAAAACAATATGGTTGGTCTCTTATCAGACACAGAAAAAGGGAGGAAAATTGACAAAGGCCTGCTGAGCTCTTACTGTGAGTCAGGCAGTAGGTTTACTCTGAAAATATACCATCAGCCTTGATTGTTTCCACAAACTTGGCTGTTACATCCATTGCAACACTGAACACTGAGGCTCAGAAAAGCAGAATCATGCACCCATGTGGCAGAGATGGCCTATGGTAATTTGGCCCCATGTCATGGTTCTCCCACCTCCCACCCCTAGGATGTGGGACAGTTAAGGCGTCAGGCAGATCAGTTTCTTTCCGCCACCATTTACACATTAGCTTGAGCAAATTATTATCTCTGAGTTTCCTCTTCAATAAAATGAAATAGTTATACCCACCTCACAGGATGATTAGGAAGATTAAATGTGATCAGGAAGATTATAAGGTTTAGAACAAAGCCTGGTGCTTTGCAAACATTCCTCAAAAGTAGCTGCTCCTGCATGGCGGTGTTATGTATTATCATTTCCACTATGCTCTCTTATCTTCCCAGGTTCAGGGCCCAAAGACTATTTTTTAAGAGGTGTTTTGTTCTTGTTTTCAACCCAAGGTTTCTATAGCTGCAGCAGGCATGTCTTCAGACTGTGCACACACCATCTTCCCTCTACCTGTTGTGGGAGGTCAGGGCATCTGAGTCTGGCTGCAGGCTGCCTCAAAGCCTGGCGAGCTGCTCTCCGAGGGTGCAAGAGCCAAGGCCACCTTTGCACCCTAACTGCAGCAGAGCTGATGGCATCCACCTCCCCCACACGGAGGCCATATGGACCCTGCTCTCTCTCTGGAGTCAGCACTGCACAGGCAACGTGGGCCACAAAATAAGCTTTTTATCACCCAGGCCTTCTTTTCTTTGGTTTTCTTTTGCTGCCTGACAAACAATTGTCATGTTTCCCCAAATAATCAAGTACTCTTGAGTCTGCTCCACCATCTATGCCACAGTGAGTGTGGCCTGAAGAAAACAAGATCCCCTCACTTCTTCTCTGGCTTTTATGTTTTTTTGTGACCTGGCTGCTCACCTGTCCCCTTTTAGTGGCCCTTCCACAGAGCAGAGCAACACCCAGATAAATCTTCTTCCACTGCCAACAGCTTCGTCCTTCTTTGTCTTTGGGAAGTAGTGAGGCTTAAATGAAAGAAGACAGAATTTGGAGCCAGACAGGCAAGGTATGAATCCCAGTTCTACAATCTTCTCTCTGAATAAGCTTGGGCCAAATACTTCACCTTCCAGAGTCTCAGTTTTCTCTTCTGTCAAATGGGCTCAAAATCCCTACCAAGCCATACAGTTGTTGAAAGAAGCCACAGGAATAGATTCAGAGCAAATGATAACCACCCTAGTTTCCTTTGAATTTCCTTGCCATGGAATATAACTTCCAGAAAGAAGAAAGGTAAGGGAGTGACCCAAATTAATCTCTCCATCTTCATATAAAATATATGTTTGAAGGTTCTTCTGGTAGAGCAAGGATCAGCAAACTTTTTCTGTAAAGGACCATATTTTACATGGTTTTGGCATTTGGGGACATACAGTCTGCCAGAGCTATGAAGCTCTGCCACTGCTGTACAAATAGGGCCATAGAAATATGTAGATGAGTGGGTGTGGCTGTGTTCCAATAATACTTTATTCACAACAGCAGGTGGCAATGGGCTGGTTGGTAGGCAGGCTGCAGTCTGCCCACCCCAGCCTTAGATGTGTATAGAGTCTGGAGCTAAGGAAAAGCACCCCCTTGCCAGGCAAACCAGAGGGCTAACATCCTCTTTCTGCCAGCGCCATCTCAGAAGCCCACCCTTCAGGGGGGCAAAACCCACGTCAGCCACCAAAATTCTCTCTCTGCCTAGAGAAACTGGAGGTTTAGATTTATGGGCATGGCCATTTGTTTCACATAATTCTGTCAGTAATTACACCGACTTCCACCAGCAGCCATTAGGTAAATGATTTGGCCCTTTCCCCTGAGTAATATTTTCCCCCACTGAAATCAATGGAGGGTGCACTTCTCTCCCATAAGTTAAGCATATTATTTGCCTCATCACACAAGGCAAATGTGGTAGCTCCGAGCTATTAGTCTATCACTGCAGTGATCAGACAGCCAGGAGCCAGAAGTAATTTACAACAGGCAAGTATACACGGCCCCAGATAAATAAATAAGAGGCCCGCACTGGTCTAGGGCCTGAAAAGATTAGGTAATGAGAGTATCTAGTGAGAGATTTAGTGCTAAGTGAGCTAGGACCAGAGCAGCCTCCCATGGAGGAATCAAATTATATCATTGTAAAGAGATATTATTGAAGTCCCTCATGCTGAGCAGGGAAATCAGCACTTCTTGGGAGGGGAGGGCTGCCATCATTAACATAGCAATTTGGGACTCCACACTGAAATTTAGCTAATTAGCTGCTGGTAAATGGGTTATATATGGCAGGTAGACAGGGCACAGTGACCCTGCCCACTAGGAAAACCTGGTCACCTCAGGTTACCGGATTACAAGTAACAGGTTTGGGTCTTTTTCCTGAAATGCACAGGCTCCTTATAAAGGATGTGTCCTTAGAAAAAGCTAGTTGGGATGGGAAAGAGAATGCAGCTGAGGCTGATACCAAGCTGACTTCAGCTTTTTACCTTCTGAACATCCTAGGGGATAGAAACCCAGATGTGCCTGGGCTTGCTGTGCCTGGGAAGGCTGGAAGCCCTGAGCAGCAGTCTCCCTCCCCTCCCTACTCCAGAAGACTTCCTCCTCCTTCTCCTTCCCATTGATGACACCACCGTTCTTCCAGTGCCAGGATGGGAGCCTCAGGCAGCCAGGCCCTACCCCTTCCTTTTGATTGCCTATTTTGTTGATTGTTTACTTGGAATGACTCGCATGTGAGGTCTGCCCTTTCAATTCCCTTCCTTAGATACATCATGACATAACTGCATAGAGGCATACGAATGCTTCCACAGATCCCCTAACAACCCTTTCATAGGTAAGAATCACTCATTGTTACTTTCCCAGGAAATCTATTAACAATATTACCTCTTTCAAAAGAATGGCCTTTTTATTATAAGATAATTTCCACTCCAGCCAGCCCTGGCTCCTCAAGCATCAGTCCTGATTCCTTATACCTCAATAATCCTTCTTTCATGGTTTCTCTTCTCCATCACTTAATGAAAAATCATGACCAAGGTAAGAACATATCTTTGGGCTTCACCTGCAGCACCAGGAATCCCAAGAGCTGAGGTTTCTGAGTTTCCTGCAGCTCTGTGCCTCAGTTTCTCCAATTGTAAAATGAGGGCATTGGTCTAGAATTTCTGGAAGGTGACATTCGGCTCTGGAAATCTATGATGATGACGCTTACCTCCTGACCTGTTGTTGTAGAGACAAGAGCTCACACGGAGCTCCACACAGAATCGAGAGGTACGTGTGTGATCAGAAAATCTTTCATGTGCCTTGGGAGGAACCAGAAAACAGACGAAAACAAACCTGAGATATATTTCCTCCAAAGAGTCCTATTTTCTTTCTTTCTTTTCCTTCTTCCTTCACTGAGTCTCCATCTTCACCACCTTTGTTTCATGTTTACATTTTGTTCCTGTTGTTCTTCCTCCCTCCCTCTCCTCCTCATACCAGATTTTCTTTATTTCTGCCCTATCTTTCCTTTACTCCCTTTCATCTAATGAGCACACCCTCACTGAAAAGGCACCTCTTTTCCTCAGGATGTGTAATGAAAGGTCAAGGTGTTCAGACAGCAGCATCTCTCATTATCGTGGGAGCGACAGAGCCCTGAAGCCGGCCTCCCACAGTGCAGTGGGTGAGCGCCGCGGCAGGAGGGTAGGTCTGCAGAAAGGAGGATGGGGTGGGGAGGGACCGGAGGAAGAGAAGCAGGAGGCTGATGTTGCGGCTTCACCCCCAGCCAGAGACTCAGGGAAAGTTACTTTGGGAAACATTAGTATTTTGATGTTCCAGTGAGGTTCTGGTTCAATTCTTTTAGAAGATATGGTTCACTTTAGGCTTGGTTTAATTCACCAGGTGTTTTTCAAACAACCTCTGGTTTAAATCTCAGATCAAGAAAAAATTATTTGGAGGTTGAGATCAATGTCCAGTAAATTAGTGTAATTTATTCCTTTTTATTTCAGACTCAGATTTGGTGTTTGTTTTTATCAGTGGAAGTCCCCCCATCTCTTCCTCCTCCTCTACCTCCTCCTCCTGGTCTTTTTCCTTCTTTTTTGTAAGGACTTCGCTGAGCTGAGGCTTCCAATAGCTGGACAATCCCTTTCAATGCCCATTAGAGGAGAACAATCGATGAGGCCTGAAGATGAAGCAAACACAGCTTGTCCTTCCATTGCATTGTATCCCAGAATATTACTCCTGGGTCTTTGAAATGAGCACCAAAAAATAACATTCCTCCCCAGTTCTCAGTCTCGGGTACTGGCTCACATCTGCTAGCAGAGTATTCTGGCAGGGGCTGCTCATGATTTGGTGGGAGGATGAAATCCCACCCTCCTGGCTCTTGAGGCCAGCTTGCCTGCAGGCTGCATGGCCAGCAGGGTGTAGGTGGGCCCATTCCATGGAGGTCCTCTCAGAACTTCAGGGCAGGTCCTTCTACTTTTTAACCATAGTAATATATCTTGCAAAGAGTGAAATAGAGGTCAGAAACTGAGGAAGAAAATCCCTGTGTTAGTTTTATCAGCATACTTGTGTGTGCTTGTTGAGTGTGCCTGTGCACCGTCTGTATGCGTGTGTATGCACATATGCTAGTACATAATCATTTTGGGCTTCTTCAGGCCACTGGTTTATAACCAGTGGTGCCTTTGACCATATATTGAGAGGAAAGAGCAGATTTGGGAGAGACCAAGTTCCTTCTCTCATTCATTCATTTATACAATGTTTATTGAGTGCCCATTATGTGCTAGGTACAGCAATAGGCAACTGCAGAGTCAACAACACAGACAAAACCCCTGCTCCCAAGAATCTTATATTCTACTAGGAATAGAAGAGCAGAAAATAAGCAAGAAAAAAAAGTAAGAGAGCAGAAGAATTTCAGGTGGTGGTAAGTGCCATGAAGAAAATAAAACAGGGTTATGTTACAGACAGTGACTGGTAAGGAAGTGACTTAGGGGCCCTACTGTAGGCAGGGTTATCAGGAAAGGCTCTGTGAGGAAGTGGTGTTCCAGCCAGAACCTGAATTCCAAGGAGGACCTGGTCACGCCAGCATCCAGGGTAAGCAGGATACAGGCAGAAGTAACCCAAGGCCAAAGCCCTGAGCTGGGGAAGAGACGGGCACACTGGGGCGGCAGGAAGGAGGTAGGGGAGGCCGCCGCAGCGGGTGTGCGAGAGTGGCCTACTATGGCACAGGAGGAGCAGCAGAGGCTGATTCATGTAATGCAGGAGCTTGGGTCTCTTCTTAGGACAATGTGAAGTTATTGGAAGGTTTGACTGGGGGAATGAGATCTGATTTGTCTTAAAAAAACATGGTGGCTATTGGATGGACAGTGGATGATGAAGGAACACAGTAGAAGCAAGAAGATTTGGTGAGGAGGGCCTCGTGGTCATCTAATTGAGGAAGGATGGTGGTTTTTACCACAGTGACAGTAGCAGAGATGGAAGGTGGTGGATACATTGGTAATGCATGATGAAGGTACTGCTGACAAATTCTACCCAATGTTCTCACCACTCCTGTCAATGACTCTTCACTTGGTGAGAAACTTGCAAGTAGAGGACTCTAGGCAATCTATCTTTCCGTGCTATTGCTTTTCTGGCCTCATTAGGCCTAATGATCTACCATCCTTCACTCTCATTTACATAAAGGATGTACCATACACAGGGGAAGAGGATCTGTAGAGAATGCCATTAGCAATGGAAACCATAACAATTATTTCCTAAGATAGTTTTGTTTAATGGCTGAGCCCTTGGGAACTGGTGGTTGACAATACCCTACTCTGTCTTATAAAATAGCATGAAAGTCCCTGTAAGTATCAGGTATAACTATGACACATGCATATCTCTTCCACAGAAAAGAGACGCTCTCTCTGGGGGGCTAGAAAACATTTACACTAATGATTTATTGCTTCTGACACAGATATGTCACTACCATCTCTATGCACCAAAAAAAAACAGATTATAAGCTAAGGAGACAAAGTGTCTCTC